AGTTTGGATTTCTTAAGCAGTGGGGAGCCACTTAAGAGTTGTCAGCAGCCAGGTAGTATAATAAAAATAGTAATTTTGGAGATTCAACTGTCTGCAGCATAGACTGGAGCTTAGGAGACCTTTAGTTTCTAGGCAAATGGTAATTAAGGTTGAGTATGGGGCAGAGGTTGCAGGAATTTAGAAGAGGGACCTAATCAAGTGTACTTTTTAGAAAAAAGGACCTAAAGATAATATTTTTCTAATACATAATTTTAACACATTATTAAAGTGTTTTAAGGTCTAAAAATAAATATAAGACACCCTAATGATACTGTGGTAAATTCTGTGGTTGAGGATTTCATCTGCTAGCTCTTCTTCAGCCCCTTCTGGTATGCAAATTATTAGGCAGTCCTTGCATAACTTAACTGTCATAGTCAGGATTTCTAGGTTAAACAACTTGCATTCCAACTACTGCTAACATTTTTATCTTGTCTAGCCAGAAATGTTAGTGAACTGAAAATTTATATTTAAATTATGGATTAAATGGATCCCCATTGATGGCTATAAATAAGCAATGGAAAGCCTAGAAATGCTGTCATCTGGAATCATTGTTATTTCTCGTTTGGTTTCTAATTGTGTCTTTTTTTGTAGGGAGGAAGTGAGGAGAGATGAGGAATCTGATAGCATTTTCTGTTTGACTCAGGTCTATTCCAAACTTCAAGGCCATCAGAGGCTAAAAACTCCTCAGAAGCTGAGTCCTAAATGTCTTTTTTTTTTTTTAAAGATTGTTGCTAATGATTTGAAATATGCTGTTTAAAAAACAAGCTATCTTTTCACCTAAAATCAAGTCATTGTCCTAAATCAGTCCATCTGTACTGAGAGGAAAAGCTTCTTTCTGAATCCTGCTTTGAGTTGTGTTGAAAAGACAGAAATAGAACAGTCTAAGGACTCAGCTTCTCCTCAAGGTCCTGAGCTTTATAGTCTATCCAAGCAGCTTAAGGGATAACAGGAGTAGCTCCTTCAAGGGCATGAACTAAAATGCCTGTTGAATGAAAGTTGTTTGTTTTTTTTTTTAGGCACAAAAAGAAAGAGAACCTCAAAGTTGTAAATTTAAAATATGTGTAAAGATTTTTTCCCCGTTGTTCAGATAATAAAATAGCTCCTACTTTTAGAGCTGAAAGAAACCTTATGAGCCATTTAGTCCAACCAATTCATTTTACTGCTAAGGAAACTGAGGCCCAAAGAGCTTAATTAACTTGTCAAGCCCACACTAATGGGGCACTAATATGGACTAAAATCCACTGGTGGACAGAGGTAGGATTTGAACTCAGATCTTCAGATTCCAAATTCAGTTTTCATTCTACTATACTACCTTCAGTACAGTACAGAGGTCACAGCTTAGCTGACCTACTTGGATGCCATTCTTATCTTTCATTGCTAGGGTAAAGGTTCTAGAAGAGAAGGCAGAAAAGGTCTAAAGGTGGGAAAAGGAAAGGAGACTACTGATAGGTCAGTCAACAGTTTCTCTTCGTACTCCCCAAACAAAACCTAGAGGTGCCATTACCCTTGTTCTTATCATTCCTCTGTATTAATGGCTACTCCTACACATGCCTGGTCTTTCAGAGGTTGGGTGATTGGGCAACACAGACCCTTAGGAGTAGGGGTGAAGGAGGAGGCTGGTTACTGAACAAGGCAGGATGATAGGAGCAGACATACAACCAACCCAGTCCTGGCTAGGAAGTAGTAGTGTGCACTAGGCGAGAATTTTGAGTCTACTTTTTTATCCTCAATCATTGCTAAAAGAAAAAAAATAGATTATTTTGTTCATACACAGTAGGCAATTTTGGAAAGCTATTAGCCTTTTCCACTAGGAAACATACTGTAGGAAATTTGTAACTACTCCAGTGGTAGCAGGTCAGTGTCTCTATTTTGGTTATTTACCGTATAAAGAGTAAAATGTCACACTTGAATCTGCTTGTAAAACTGACTAGTGTTCCCTGAGCACCCCTTACCAGATATCTTGTTTGTCATGAATTTATCAGTACATACTCAGATTTCTCCCAAAAACAGAGGGGGAAAGAGTTTGCATTTCAGCCAAGTCTGCTGCAAATCTCTTATCACATTCTTCCACTTGGCCCTTTCTCACCTCCAACCAAAGGAGGAAGTGAAAGAGTGTAATGTGTTTACCCATCTGGGTTCTGGGTTACTGAGGCTACTTCCAGACTTGGCACATCTGCCTGCCAGGTGGGAGAGCAATAGGATAGAAGATTTAGCTTCAGGTAAAGTACACCTGAAGGACTGAGAAAGGGGCCACTCATAAATGCAAAAGAAGTGGATTTTTGTTTGTTTGTTCGTTTTAATGGGATATCTTAAAGAAAGACTTAGTGGGTGGGAGCTACTCCATAGTTCTTCATTCTGGCCTCAGTTGTGTTTATAAGGCTAGGACCAGAGGTAATAGCAACACTTGACTGACTGGGAAAGCTTTCGTCTCAGCCTGCCTGTCACTAAGGCATCAAAGCCACAGGAAACATTTCAAGTCTTTTCAGTCTGATTTGTAATAGTAAGAGTATGTGGTATCTGTGTAGCTTTCTTTGGAGCTGGGCCACACTTGGGCAAGAAGGACCGGCCAAGCTTTTGGGGAAAGAAGGCATGTGACAGAAGTAAGGGAGACTGATCTGAAGGGAAGGAGAAGGTATAAAGAATTGCAGATTTCATCAAAAGAGAGAAGATTTGAGCAAGAGTTTCATCCATTCAATAAAAAGATAGTTGAAGGGGAAGGATGAGAGAGAGTATGTTGGGAATTGAGTAGAGGTGGGTATCTTCATAGTGGAGATATTTTATTGAAGCAGAAATGGAGGAAAGACGGAAGAGAATGGAAGGACATTTAGGTAGGCAGTTCTGGCTTCTTAGTCGCCATAGTGTATTGGTAGGTGGAGTCAAGGATGTTTGGACAAGGAAACCCTTTGAAGCTTTTCTCTTGTCCTCCTGAGCTGGACCTGGTCCCCTCCCCTCCATAAAGCCATTAGCTCCTGGTGCCAGCCCTATCTCTGGTCCATCTCTAGTGGTTCCATTTGGTGCTTTCACAGACCTCCTGCCCTGAGGGATGGGGGGATGATTTATTGAGGGGAGACATCCTTTAGAGGAGGAGAGATGGGAAAGTAGGGAATGGGAAGCTGTTAGGTTGCTAGTATAGTGGCCAGACCATTTCAGAGATAGTTCTGCATGACAAAGAGAAGAAGCAAGTTTCCCCTTTGATGTGTTTCCTGCTGGTCGCGCACACCTGCCTGTTGGCTTTCTACTCCCCCCCCTCCAAGTCCCAAGCCTCTTCTGAAACTGAAGAAGAAATCACAAGAGGGGGTGGGGAAGAGGCTGTGTCCCAGCTTCCCTGTGGCCAGCTCAGGGCCATCTTCCTCTCCCTGTGGCCCTGGAACTCAAAAGCTGCCTCACCTCAGAGACTTCTGACCCAAAACACCTGCTGCCCTCTCCCGGAAGGCAGAGATCCAGAGCAGCTGGAACAGAATGGTGAGAGGGGGTTGGGGGTGGGGGTGTGTACAACTGAAGGTGTGAAGGGGTCCTGGGAAGAAGGCTGCTCATTTGGGGATGTGGAGTCATGGCCTAGAGGAAGGCAATGGGGGTAGGGGGAGGGGAGGGGGGAGTGCGAAGGGGGATATTTGTAGAACTTGCTCTAAGTAGAGAGGACATGGAGGTTCTGGTATATTCTTGAGGCTGCCTTTGAGGGTTCAGGGCAAAGGGTTTTGGTTTGAGGGAGAAGGTCTAGACGGAGGGCAAGGTGCATATGCCTCTCAATAGGGAACTCGAAAACTTGCCATAGGACAGGTTGTGCTGCCTCTTCGGGCAGAATGCATTTCTGTTGAGGGAGGTCTTGTTACAGAATCAAGGCTGAAATTTGTTGGGATCACGTTCTGCCGAGGTTCTCCACAGAGGGCCCCAGAGAGCAGAGTAAAGAAGAGAGAGAAAACCCAGTGCTATATGTATGCAATGCATATGTGTAGACAATGCAATACGCATATATGTGCCTACACATCTGTTTAGGCATATAAATGTATATATACTCTACATGCATCTATGTGTACACGTCTATATATATATAAATTATATGTGCACACACACGTGTGTGTGTGTGTGTGTGTGTGTGTGTGTGTAAATACAGGTTATCCTAGAAGTTTTAATGTGGCTTTAAGCATCACTTTTAAACTGTAGTTTATTGCTACACTAAGACGTCTAGCACATGTACGTGTGAAAATAGATACATACACACACACACACACACACACACACACACACACACCCCTTTCCACATGTCCTGGGGCATATACAGTGTCCCTTGTACTCTTCCAAAGAAGCTGCTTTATGAAGGTTAGAAGAACTCCAACTTTTCTCCTGAATTCTCGGGTTGAAAAGTATTTGTGTGGTGAAAAGGGAAAAAAAAGTTCAGTTTTGAAGGAGAGGTTACTTAAACCTCCCTGTCCCTCCCTGTCTCCTTCTTCATTGAATAGACTTGTTAGGCTGGAATTCGAGGTATGACATGGGAATGGATGAGAGATCTCCCCCAATTTCTTTGCAGCTTTGGGGAAAGTACTGCATAGAAACAGCTCTTAGGCCTGCCACAGTCATTCCTGCTCCCCATTCTCTTTTCTCATCCTAGCATCATTCCCCTTAAAGTCAAATACTAGGTGGCATTTCACTTCTGGCTGTAATGAGGGACATAGACTTCAACCAGGGTTCCTGAGCTAAATAGAGGAAAGGATTGGGGACAACAGACACCTTCTAGTGTGGTCTTCCAGGAGAGAGAAAGACTGAAAAGGTCTCGTTTTCTTTGGGGGCAGCCTGACTCAGCTCCAGCCCCGGGACTGTCCTATTAGAGTCTCCTCTCCTCCTCCTCCTTCTTCATCTTTTCCTTTCTTTCTATTCCTTTCTCTCCCTGTCTTTACTCTCTGGTCCTTCTTGTGTTGCCTTCAATTCAGCCAGATTCATTCAAATATCTTTTCTATTTTCTCTAGGGAGCCCTTTCTTGGAAATTGTCAGTCCCAAGCATTTTCCCAAGGCACTGGAGCAGGGCGACACCTAGGATGCCTGGGGTGTTGCTGCTATTCTCCACTGCTCTGCTCTCCAGCTGTGTCCAGCTACTGGCAGAAGCTAACTCTTGGTGGTAAGTGAGGTGACAATACATATACAATGTATTTCTATTTCTGTTCTCTATTTCTTTTTTTCCCCTTTTTTTAAAAATTGTGAACTCAATGAACATTTCAAGATAGAAAGAATAGGAAAGAAGATTGTATAAGAAATTGTAAACTGTTATGTATAATTTTTAAAAGAATATATAATATATGTATGTATGTGTATATATAGAGATATAGATACAGATAGAATTATATAAAATTTAACAAGGTAGTAACAGCTAGGTGGGGCCATAATGCTCACAGCACTTAGCCTGGAAGTCAAGAAGACCTGAGTTGAAATATGATGTCTGACACTTAGGAGCTGAGTGACCCTGGGCAAGTCAACCTTTATTTGCCACAGTTTCCTCATCTATCAAATGGAGATAATAACAACACCCATTTCCCAGGGCTGTAGTGAGGACCAATAAAGATAATATATGCCTGGCATATAGTAAATGCTATATAAATGGTTAGTCATCATCATCATTTGTGTCCCTTATGTACTTCTTTTTTTCTTATGTGCATTTTAAAAATTGTTTTTATTTCTGTTCCTTTTTTGTGTGTGTATCATTATACAATAACCCGCCTTATACTCAGCAATAGGAATTCTCCCATAACAACAATATGTCTCTCTCTCTCTCTCTCTCTCTCTCTCTCTCTCTCTCTCTCTCTCTCTCTCTCTCTCACACACACACACACACACACACACACACACACAGAGTCAAGAAAAATAAAGACAATTAGCTACATTTGAGGATGGAGGTCTCCTTCTGCACACACACACACACACACACACATACACACGGAGAGTCAAGAAAAATAAATTAAGACAATTAGCTACATTTGAGGATGCAGGTCTCCTTCTGCACCTCTAGTTCATCCTCTCTCTGCCAAGAGGCAGGAGGTATATTTCATCATTAGTCTTTTGAAGTCATAATCAGTCACTGTTTTGGTCAGAATTCTGAAGTGTTCTTTCAAAAGTTGTTTCCCCTTACATTATTATTTTAGTCATTGTGTAAAATGTTCTCCTGGTTCTGCTTATTCCATTCTACATCAGTTTGGAGAAATCTCCATCACTTGAGATATTTTTTGGTGTGTGTGGGGGTGCTACAAAGTCTAGAAAAAGATGACCTAAATCATCTCTACCTCTAAAGGAAAAAAAAAAGATGCTCTTTTGGTACTTGTCTCAGGGAGAGCAGGACTCTTACTCTCTACCAGTATTAAATATTTCCTAGTGAAAATAGTAAGGACTGCACTGATGCTTCCCTCTTAGTTTTATCCCCATCCTCCCTGGCTTGGTCCAATTCTTTAGAAAACATTTCCTCTTAGCCAAGGTAACCCCCTTGGCCTAAGTTTTTGTACCTTTTCAGATCTTCTTCCACTTAGTGAATTTTAGGGACTCTTTTTTTCTCTTGAATCAACAAACTCCTCAGAAACCTAAGCTATTTTTTTCTCCCTCATAGTTAATTCATTTAGGGACCAAATATTAGAGACAAAGAGAGGCAGGCTATTGTTCTTTTTAATCCTTTGTCACTGGCAGATCATAGGAGTCTTACTCTACTTTATCTCATCTATAAACTTCCCATTTTTACTCAGACAGCAAATTCACTGCCTTTCCTTACAGTCTTATAATTTATATCTGATAGACAAGAGGCAGAAGCGTCATCCTTATGCTGTGAGGAGTGAGGATGATAAATTGAGGGTTGGGGGGGATGAAGTATAAACTCAAATTTACAGGTAGAAAATTACATTTTCTAGAAATGTGTGTTTTCTAGAAAATTTGCAGGTAGAAAAATCTCTTCTTTGTCCTTTTTCTTGTAGGTCTTTGGCCATGAACCCAGTGCAAAGACCTGAAATGTTCATCATTGGAGCCCAGCCTGTATGTAGTCAACTTCCTGGGCTTTCACCTGGCCAGAGGAAGCTATGTCAGCTCTACCAGGAGCATATGGCCTACATTGGGGAAGGAGCCAAGACAGGCATCAAAGAGTGTCAGTATCAGTTCCGGCAAAGACGCTGGAACTGCAGCACTGTGGACAACACCTCTGTCTTTGGGAGGGTCATGCAGATAGGTAAGGAACAAGGTGCTTAAATAACTCCATGAGCCTAGTCTGAATATCCAAACAAATTTTAGGCATATATGGCTACCCTCACTCAAGATGGGCACAAAGAGATCTCAAATGCCTGTTGGAGATATTCTGTTTAGGTTTGGAAGAGGTAGGCAGAAAGGAGGACTAGAAGAGACCTTGGGGATCATTCAATCATCCCATTTTATAGATGAGGAAACTGAGGCCCTAAGAGAAGCATTTTACCCAAGACCACATAGCTACTTAGGGGGAGAGCCAACCCTAGAATATCATGTCTTCTGACTCTAATCTAATGCTATGCTTTATCTGTTAATATGGTATAGTAGAAAGTTAGTATTAGAGGTTAGTGAATGATATATAGATCATATATATATATGTGTATATATACATATATATATATATATATATATATATATATGTATGTATGTATATACATATACATATATATAATATATATATATATATATATATATATATATATATATATATATATATGTATGTATGTATAATAACTTTCAATTTATCTCTGGCCCTGTGGCATGGGCTGGGGGAAGAGGCTCAGGACAACTGAAGAAATTGAGCTCTGGTGGATTAAGAAATCCACCTACTGCCTTTAGTATCTTCTCTCTGGTGCCTCCTTTTGGAATGCTGAATATATGTAGCATTCTTGTATGTCTCATAGGATGCCTTGAAGAAAGGAGAAGCTGTGATTTATTGGTTATCATAATTGTCATTAACTTGCTCTAGAATGGTTGGCCGTAGCCTTTTTGTTTGGAAGCAAAGGGGATGGAAGAGGGATATCTAAGACAATGAAAAGACCAGTTTTCTCCCTTCCACTGCTGGTCAAGGATGCATCAGTTGTCCTATTGCTTGGATAGAGGTGTGATCTGGGGTTTAATTGTGTTGATTCCTTTTGAAATGCAATTCTCCCCCTGGCAAGAAATCGAGAAATCCGGCACTATTCTACAGGATCCTATCCTTAGGACCATAAAGAGAAGGTGTTAAAAAGCAGTATTAGCCTTTGCTGGCTTCAACCCAGACAGTTTCCCACACCAATAACTGTGTCAGTGGCAGTAGCTTATCCCTAGGAATGGTCATTAGCATATCATGGGGCCGCTGGGTTTTAGTGATTTGATGTTACTGACTTAGGAAGGTTAGAAGGTTAGGCGCCCGTGAAGGGGCTTCAGTTGTCCATGCCTGAGTGCTACAGTCTTCTTCCTCTACTCACTCTTTATTCATACACCCCAATCTGAGCAAACAGGGGTTGAAAAAAACACATTTCCATCTATGCACCTTTCCTGCTTCCTTCTGCACCAGGTTAAGATCAATAAATGAGAGTCTGGGATCCTTAGGTATCAGCTCTTCCAGAAGGGACTATTTGAGAGTGAAGTTTTTATTCATGCCTGTAGAGTAAGTGTAATAGTTCACCATTCCTTGGTTCTTCTTTAATCCATTTGGTCATTCCCCTATCTTGAATGTACAGTACCCTTCCCAGGACTTCATTTTGTTGGAGGAGTCAGTCTGGTTTTGTCGGTTGGGGTTAGTGGGAATTTGTGTGACGTCAGCTTTCCATAGAAGAATAATTTTTGTGAGGGTAGAGGGTAATATAGGGTTGTTGTTTTTTTTAACCCCACCCTACCACCCAAAGTAGAATAAAAAGAGGACTGACTTCCTTATACTTCTCTATTAGCATCATTGTGGCATAGTGGAAACATTACTGGGCTTGAGAGTGTGGAGAGACCTGAGTTCAAAATAATCCTCTGACTGTGTGACCACAGGCAAGACACATAACCTCTCTGTGTGTGTTTCAGTTTCCTCATCTATAAAATGGTGATAATAATATCTATATATACCCACCTCACAGAGTTGTTATAGAGATCAATTTAGATAATATATGCAAACTACTCTGCAAAGCTTAAAGTACTATATGAATGTCAACTGTTATCTCATATATGCCACACCTTTTTTGCCTTTACCTACAAAACAGTCCTAAAACTCAGATCCTTGGAGAAAATATCATGCTTTTCATTCTTAGTAGTAGGTATAGTAGAAAGAGCACTGTTAGGAAACTCAGGGTTCTGATCTTGACTATGAACCTTATATTCCTCATCTTTAAATTGAGAGGTTGACCTAGACAATCTCTGTAGAGCCCTCTACGTCTAATAATGTGTGTTATTCTAAAGACTATAGATCTATTTACCCCGGGCCAACCGTTTCTCACTTGCTTTTCTCCAAGTTGCTGAAAAATATGGCCATTAGGGGGCAGCAGAACAACAAAGAGTTGGCCCCCTGACTTCTTCCTGAGTCTGGAGCAACCTCCCATGGTAATTTTGGAGTACTCCTCCAATTCAGTGCAGTATGAATGTGACCCATGTTGAAAGTATTATACAGTTACTGTCAGGTAAAGGGCAAACCTGATGGCTCAATGGCTGCTCATTGTTCTGGCTTTCATCCATAAGACAAATAGAATGTCTAGAATTTTAAAAATGGTTGCTTTCAACAGTACCATAAGTGGTAAATTACTGGTTCTCAAGTCCTCTATTATCTCCCAAATCCCTGAGGAAGGTAGTAGGATCATGTGCTCACCTGAAAACTCTTCATACACTGAAATGAGTCCATTTATATAGTGAGTACTGGCCTTTCTCAATATAACAACAATTGTTCATTTGTCAAGGGAAGATTTGGAAACTGGCATCAACTAATGCATCTTGTATAAACCCAGGAAATGGAACTGAATGAACTATTCAGAGTGGGACCATAACTTTCTTACTTGTTCCTCTGAGTTTATCGAACTCTCTCAAGGGCTCCTAGATTGCCATCTTCTCAATCTCATATCCCATACTCTACTTTCATGAGACAAGTTCCCTGGCTTGGGTGGAGCCTTGATGCTGACTCAGAGGGAAAAATCCTAGTGGTTGAATCCCAGGAGCTGCTTCCTGAAATCATCTGGTTTTTTCTTGGCCCTCTCCCATCCCAGAACTGACCAGAGCCTGACCCTTGCTTAACTTAGGGAAATTCAATAGCCTAGAGTGGTTTGGTGTCAAACCTTACTACATCCTCCTTGCTTCTTGGATAACCAAAAAATGGGGTCAGGGAAAAAGCGGAAAATTTTAGCAGGTCTTCTAATTGACCGTAGAACCTCATGCCTTTTCCCAAATTTTATCAGGCAGTTGCACCTAAGAGATTCAGAATAAAATAGTGGGGATTATATGTAGGTCCTGTCTCCTTATAAACCATTATAATAGAAGAGAGATAGCCAAGAATTTCACCTAATTTAATTCATGAAGTTTTAAAATGACTCATTCTTCTGGGAAATAGTCATGGGAAATAGTCCAGTTATTCACTGGGGCCACACTAAGGAGGTAGTGGGTAATACAGCCATTGTGGGTGTGTTTCAAGAATGCTGTGATTTAGAGTGGAGGTAACATGTGCTTTGGAGGTGAATAGAGAAACTAGGACTTTGCCGCAGGGCACTGAAATTTAGGGAGTACAGATCACACCTTGAATTACAGAGCTGATTTGAGAGACCTTTTACAGCTGTTTTCCCCTTTCAGTCTGCTTGCCCCAGTAGTCTATGGACTACTCTCGCCTAATTATCATCTGTTCTAGTTCACTTTCCTACTTTGACTCTGTTACCATCCTATTGACTTGTAGCAGTAATTAAAAGATGTGTGTGCAGTGGTGTAAATGGGGTACATGAGTGAAGGATTATGCCTGGTATTAAAAAAAAATGACCTGACAGTGTTGTTTGACCCATTATTATCCCATTAGTTCCACTTACTTCTCTAGTCATTGAACTCCCTGTTTCTTAATATTCCTACAGTTCAGTACCATATAATCACATGAAAACTCTTCATACACTGAAATGCAATTATTTGTATGTTAACAAGACCCAGCTCTACTCATCACAACAGCATTGCAAACTAATCTCAGCTAATATATCTTGTATAATTGACTGGGATCACTCCACCTAGACCAGCTCATGAGAGCTTCTTTGGAAATGGGAGTTTCATTAGGACTTGATTAATTTGTTCAACCCAACTTCCCTTAGAGTTCTTAACCCTTATGCTTTTTTCCTGTGGTCCAGTATCCACTGTTTAGTGAAGGAGTTCAGCCACCATCATTTGTCTTCTCCCTTTTAGGCAGCCGAGAGACAGCTTTCACATATGCTGTGAGCGCAGCAGGTGTGGTCAACGCCATTAGCAGAGCCTGTCGAGAAGGCGAGCTTTCCACCTGTGGCTGTAGCAGGACTGCCCGGCCCAAGGATTTGCCCCGGGACTGGCTGTGGGGCGGCTGTGGAGACAATGTGGAGTATGGCTACCGCTTTGCCAAAGAGTTTGTGGATGCTCGGGAGCGAGAGAAAAACTTTGCCAAGGGCTCGGAGGAGCAGGGCCGTGTACTTATGAATCTGCAGAACAATGAGGCTGGTCGCAGGGTAAGGGAAACCACAGAGACGGTGTGATAAATAAGTAAAGATATACCCCAGTATACCTCAAAAGAAACGTGAGTGAAATGAACTGTCCCCTTGGACTTGGTGGCAGATTCTTTCTCTTTAATAAGATACAAGAATAGGGTTCTGGGTCTCTAGCTAGGTCCTTGTAGAAATTAAAGCAGAATTAATGAAGTGAAGTTTCCTGGAGAGGAATAAATTTGGAAGTTCAGTGTTAGCTCGCTGATGGAAATATAGTTGTGGCTAGCTTTTATAAAACGGATGAATTCCTAAAATCAAGTTTTTTAATAAATCAATTCATGTTTTATATTCACCACAGGAATATTGACATTTAAAGGAATCCTATTGTGAATTCATTTCTACAATGAATAGCCACACCTAATAGCTTTTGTGTAATTCAAAATATTCAAATATTTCCTTGGGCATAGCAAAGTTAAACTATATTTATACAAAATAGGTATACCAGGGCTAATAATATACTACTGGGTAAAATTCCATTTTCCCAGTGCCATTTCTCACTTCAAATCAACAGAGACTGGTTTGAATATATCCTGACTTAGATGATATAGATCTAGTTTGTAATGATATAAGAAATTCTAGTCTTTGGCCTTGTCTCAGATTATCCTTTAATATAAAGATCAATGAGACTATAGCTGACTCTAACCCTCGCTAGGAATGACTTCTAACCCAACGGACATCTTCTTAACTCACCCAGGAGTTCACCTGTATTAGACTTCCCATTTGGCACCAGAATTTGAGATCTTCAGATGTGGAAGCCTGAGTGCTAGAAAGAGAACAGTTAAGGGGATAAATTCTTAAGCTAAGAGCACTTGGAGGCTAATGTGACCCACCGGTGGTTCCTAGGAAGGAATTAAAGACTTAGAAAGCTATTTCTGCTTCCTGACTTTGCTCTTAGCTAATGGGACAGTGCCTCCTCCCTTAGAATCACAGATCTTGAGCTTTCAAAGCCTGTGAGATTCTTGTCGCTCTAGCAATGGAATAGAAACAACTGCTATTTCAGATATAGTCTTGAACTCTCCACTGCTGGCTCCTCATTTTATTGCCCTTAATTGTTTATTTGTTTACACCAGGCTGTTATCTCAGCAGGGCCTTTCCTTCCTTATGTCTTATTTTTCTCCTAGCACACCTTCCTTCTCCCTTGACTCCAAACCTCTTCCTGGGCTCTTTATCTGTCCCCTAGGCCCAGTCTACTCCATCTTTAGTACCCCTGTTCCTTCCCACTATTTATCCCCTCTTGAGGGAACTGGCCTCAGCCATTAATCACTCTCTGAGGCCAAAGGTTTTCAATTCAATAAACATTTATTAAGTGTGAGGTACTCATCTCCTATCTCCTTGCACTGTTTGTTTGAGGAGGAATTTAAAATTCTTTGTTGCACTTAAGGCTTGATTTTGCTGAAGATCAAATTTGTGACTTCTTGATGGTGGGTAAATCTAAGGGCTATTTTGCCTTTGATTTTAGAAGTAACTTCCTCTTATTCCTTGATAGCAAGACTGATAAGATTATAAAAAAACTTTAGCCCATAAGAATTCAAAAACACTTTCTAGACTTTGAGATCTTTGAAAATTTCAGAACCACCACCAGATAGTAGAAAAGAAGAAGCTTTGCTTTAGATTCAGTGGTATGTCAGAAATGGAATATGGACCATCTATGGTCTCCTGCCCCTCAGCAGAATTGTTCCCCCAAGGAGTAGGCTAAAGATGTTTAGTGATTTCTTTCTCTTCAGATTATCTTATTTTATACTTAAGAGTCATAAGAATTCATATAGAAAAACAGATTTAAAGCTGCAAGGGGATGAGGAAACAGAAATCCAGAGAAATTAAATGACTTTTCCTATGATCACACAGGAAGAAAATGGCAGAGGAGAAATTTGAACCTGTGTTCCCTGGTTGTGAATCCAGCCATTTCCCATGATATCATGCTGCCTCTAATGTGAACTCTTTGAGGGGAGAGATTGCTTTGGGTTTTTTTTTCTTCATCCCTAGTTTCTGATACTGTAGTATATACTTAATTAATCCTTATTAGGTTGAATGAATTTATTTGAATTGCCCTTTCCTTCTTGCTTTTGCTCATAGATACCATAAAGGGCCAAGGATGTTACGGGCTTTAACCTTTGCCGTTTTTCTTCTGTCCTCCAGGAGAAGCCTGTTTATAGCCCTTAATAATAAGGACTAGTCTCGCTTTCTTTTTCTTTCTCTCTTCTAGATCTCTCTAAGCCAGTGGTTCTGAAAGTGTGGTCCAAGGACCCTTGGGGTTCCCAAAGTAAAAACTATTTTGGGTAACAATATGAAGTTGTTTTAATTTCTAATATGGTAAATATTGACAAATATAAACCCAGGTAAACAAAAGCTTTTTGGGAGAATCTTCAATAATTTTTAATAGTGTAGAAGAGGCCTGAGACCAAAAAGGTTGAGACTTGCTTCTCTCTAGTGTTTATTCTCATTAGAGATGGTTATCCTGTCTCTGCCCATCCCCCTCCCCTCAGTACTTAGAGATAATGTACACAGAGCTCTAGTCCCTTAATACTTCCTTCCCTTCCAGCCCCTCCAGATAGATCCCATCCCTGTGCACCAAGGACCATTTCCAGTGGAATTTCAGGACTGTGGGCCCAGACACAAGGGATTTGTTCCAGAAGGAGTAATTATGGGTCCAAGCTTTGAAGTGCCTTATTGGTATGGGGCGTCAGTTACTTTATGCCTTATGCCTGGCACTTCCAGGGCTGAGCCTCCCTTTAACCTTGGATAGGAGCCTGAGGAGTTTCTACCCAATTTTCTATATCCCAACCCTTTTTATGTCCAGAGATTGGGGAACAGGGATAATATTGATCTCTATAACTCCTTCTGGGTGGCCCTAAGTAGGCCATTTGGCCTTTTGGGATCATCAGTTTCCACAGCTGTAGGATAATATTCCACCAGACAGAATCAATTGAAATATAAGCTGATGATGCTTAAATGATTTCCTAGCACCTGCTGGGCTTTTTCCATGGAACAGGACAAAGACACGAGAAATCTTGAGTAACATCCCTGAGACATGAACTCTGACTTGGTTACTGAGTGCTTTATTTTTCAACATGCCAGTGTGTGCACGTTAGGATCTATTGTCATGCCAGTTATTCCAGTCAACACATCAGTGATTTTTCACTGAAAGTTCTTTTAAAGCAGCTTTCTAGTGCCCATCTGCTTTTTTGCTTGTTTGTTTTTTTGTTTTTACTTTTTGATGAGGCAATCGGGGTTAAGTGACTTGCTCAGGGTCATAGAGCTATTAAGTGTCAAGTGTCTGAGGTTGGATTTGAACTCAGGTCCTCCTTATTCCAAGGCCGGAGTTCTATCCACTGTGCCACCTAGCTGCCCCACCCATCTGCTTTTAAATTTTGGTCAGGATGATCCAGGTGTTAATCTAAGCCTCCAAATTGTTTTGGTTCAGCAATTTTGTTTTATGTAAATCATGCTCTTGATATCTATATCAGAGGTGGCCGAGGATGTGCACCTTCTACAGAAGGCTGGCTGATGTAGACTTTGGATCTATGAGTCTGACCTCAAAGAGAGGTAAGTTAGGCTTCTCCCACATTCTCTGTGGCTTCTTATACTCCTACCCCAGAGATCCAGGGAAAATCTCTACATCATACTCCTTAGGGAAGTTTAGGGAAACTCCTTAATGGTAAGGATTATTTTTGTATGTGTGTGTGTGTTTGTATCCCCAGTGGCTAACACAGTAGAAACTTAATAGGGCAGCTAGGTGGTGCAGTGGATAGAGCACTGGCCCTGGATTCAGGAGGACTTGAGTTCAAATATGACCTCAGACACTTGACACTCACTAACTGTGTGACCCTGGGCAAGTCACTTAACCCCATTGCCTAGCAAAAAAAAAATGTATAGCCCCATTTCTCTTTCTCAGGTTTGCTGCCTTCAAGAGGGGATAGCTTTTTTTAGGAGGAGAAATACCTTGATGTGATTCATGGTGCTACTATTGATAATATCTTAGAAACAATAATCCTGTGATAATCAGAAGAGAGGAAGACTGTCCAACCTTTCTAATATGGTTAACTTTTGTGTCACTGAACTGAATTTCTGTTCCTGAAATTTGGTTTTATCCCACCCCTACCATCTCTTCTAGGTACTTGGTTAGCTTAGAGGTGAAAAGCCTCAGGTGCTGTAAAGACATTGTTAATTATTTTCAACTTACTAATTAAAGGATTAGAAAAAAAATCTTCACACAGATGAAGAATTTCTTCCTAGGTGTAGCCACTAACACATTGGTGAGGTCTTGATTCACAGCATAAGGTTTTTCTCTACTGCTTGTCCTCTTCCTTAACTCTCTTTCTTCTTCTCCATTACATGCAGGCTGTATACAAGATGGCAGATGTGGCCTGTAAATGCCATGGTGTCTCAGGATCCTGTAGCCTCAAGACCTGCTGGTTACAGCTGGCTGAGTTCCGAAAGGTGGGAGACCAACTGAAGGAGAAGTATGACAGTGCGGCTGCCATGCGTATCACTCGGAAAGGCAAACTAGAGCTAGTGAACAGCCGCTTCAACCAGCCCACCCCTGAGGACTTGGTCTATGTAGACCCCAGCCCGGACTACTGCTTTCGCAATGAGACCACTGGCTCCCTGGGCACTCAGGGCCGGCTCTGCAACAAGACCTCGGAGGGCACGGATGGCTGTGAGCTGATGTGTTGTGGCCGGGGCTATGACCAGTTCAAGAGTGTCCAGGTGGAGCGATGCCACTGCAAGTTTCACTGGTGCTGCTTTGTCAAGTGCAAGAAATGCACGGAAGTCGTAGACCAGTACGTCTGTAAATAATCTGGCAGAGGCATCACTCTTCTGGCTGCCCCCCCTCCCACTTCTTCTATTTCCTCTCCCCCCCCAAAAAAGTTTTTATTATATAAATCTATATAAATATATTTTATATTTCTATAAATAGATGAATGATAAATAATTAAAAGAAGAAAATTGAAAGGAAATGTTATTTAAGAGGTTACAGCTTCAGGATCTCTCTGAGGATTGGACTTGGCTGCTTTTCTACTCCTTATGGAGGTTCCAGACATTAGGAGCAGGTAGATTTTTTTTTTTTGTCCCTTTGGTTGGTATTCTCAGGATAAGAGGTTAGGACCTACCTATTACCATACAGTCTTAAAAAAAAAAGCAGAGGGATAGGAGTGAATTGAATGAGAAGAGGGTTGTCTCTAGTCTTTTGGAGTACTTGTGGGTTAAGTGGTTGTTCTATTACCCCTACAGAGCCAAAGGTCCTGTGGGAAATGGTTGGAGGGTTTTGTTCAAAATGTAAATTGCATCTGTAAGAAGGCTTGTGCTTTCTCACTTCCCTCAGTGTATGTGCATATGCGTGCATATGTGTGCATATGCACACCCAGAGGTTCCAGATTGAGAACAGAAGTGCCATCTTTTCCCCAGGACTGCCTGGGCTCCAGCACCTAAGAACCTATGATTTATATACATTCCAGTCTAGATTCATCTTTCAAGTTTGCAGATTATTCCTTATCCACAGGTCTCCATATCTTGCTACAAATTCCCTGTTTCCAGAGGGAGAAAGGGCCATTTAATCTGACCTGTTGAGAAGGACATACACTGTGTGTGCCTAGACTGCAAAAATTCAGGCACAACACAGCTGGACTAATTGAACTTCACTGTGCTCCCTTATGGGAAGCAGAAACTGGTGATGCTGCTGCTGCTGCTTCCCCCATCAAGAAGGGAGGCCTCCTGAACATGATGCACAGATAAGCCAGGATTGGCTAGCTGGCCTTAATCCTTGTTTTTGTCCCAGATGTACGGTTTCTCTTTGGTATTAAATACCCTTCACTGAGATTTCTCTCCACCTTTAATGGATAGTATTGAGTTTCATTTTGTATCTTGGCTTCAGCTACAAAGTTTGGTATCTAGTAAGTAGGAAAGGGGATTGAATGGGAAATAGAGACTGCTCTGAATCCTTTTCTGGTAATCAGAGAGCAAGAGGACAATGACAGTGGAAGGACATTCAGAGATGAAATTTGAGCTTCAAGTGCACTTTCCTTTTGGGCTTCACTGTGCAAATTATCTGCTAGTTGTTTAATGAGTTATCAGTAAAGCACAAATGAACTTAGGGCCTCTCTACATGTTTTCTTAAGGAAGGGGAAATGCTAGCCTAAGACCTGGTTCTTGGGGGCTGGGTAAAAAGGAAGCTGGGTTTAGGGGCCAAAGGTGAGAGATTAGGAGAGGAGGAATAGTCCTGGACAGATGCAGAGACAGAAAGAATGGTGCTGGTCAGGAGAGGGAAATAGAATTTGAGATGGGATTAGGGATTGCCTTAGGAGGCACATTCCAGGGTTATAGGAATTTAGAACAAGAAATTGATTTTGGGGTTGGTTGCAGCATTTCCACGCATACTTCTCTGTGTGTGTGTAGAAAGAGAAATTTTATGATACACGTCAGTAGAGGCATATGCCTTGAGCTCCTTTTCCTACATGGTGATACCATCTGCACTTACCCAATTTTTCTTTGACCACTAGCCAACAGTACTTGCAAGATGGCTGGAAGGAGTTGGAGTATTGGCTATGGCCATAGATCAGAGTAAAGACAATTGGCCCATGCAATGAGGACAAACAAGCCATGGCTATCGAGCACAGTAATGATGTGCTCTAAAAACAATAGCTCTTTTTATGGCTCTTTCCATCCCCTTCCCCACCCCACAATCCCACTCAGAAGGTTTAGAAGACTCAAGAGATGACAGTTTGTTTTTAATGGAATAAAGAGAAACAGGGTGAAGACATGACTTGTAATAGGACACAAGAAAATCGCATGAAGGGAAGTGAATGAATCCATGGTCATATGGAAATGTGTCCTGCAGGACTGGAACAAGAGGAGGAGGAAGACGAAAATTTCCTTTCTGATTGGGGCAATAATTTATGTTCAAGCGCTTGTGAGATTATTGAATGCACTGACCCACCTGGGTTTGGAACCAGCTGTTTTGCACTAGGGTTGAGAATCAGAGTGCAGTTGTTCACACTGGCTTGTTGAACCCAGATAGGAGTCATCTGTCTGGGTGGGTGGGGTAGCTGAGATATGGCCATTGATACCACTGAGATTAGGGCTAAAAAAACATAAAGACAACTAAAGGATTTGGCCTCTACTCAGGATATTTATTTATCACTGGTCAGGATTCTTTGGAGCAATAAATCCTAGGTCAACATGAAGGCTGACCAAAGGGTCAGTATATTAGGTATAATAATGCCTAAACAAACAGACCTAGCCCTCTCAGGCCAATTAGTTCTACCCAAATCATAGGGTGTGGTTCTAGAAGAAGTATATGTGGAAACATTGCAACCAAAATCCATTTCTTGTTCTGATTTCCCATAACCCCATCACTTCCTAACAAGTTGGATATAGAGTGAGTCCTAGGGAATGATTCCTAGTCTGGTGAGTTAAAAGCATTCCAGGGCCAAATGAAGGCCAAAAGATCATAGATTTAGTGCCAGAAGGGACCATAGTGGTCATCTAGTTCAGTCCACTAATTTTAAGGATGAAATAACTGAACCCAGATAGATTAAGTAACTTAGAATGTCTAGGATTTGAACTCAGGGCTTCTTTCCACTTCACCTTTGGATGCAATAAAGGAATGTTCCCTAAGGTCTCTCTTGCTTACTTTCTCAGAATTAAGGCAGCCCTAAGAAAAATGGATGAAAAAAATCTTCATACAAAACAAAACAGAGATAGGAAGTATCTGAAGGCAAGGTCCCATCTGTTTTAAATGTCCTGAATCAGGCATCATAAGAATTAGAATTTTGCCCCATTCTTCAGGGAAGAATTAGTGATTATCTGCCTTTTTGGCTTCAGTGGTGAAAATCAAAATTGGGTAATCTTCTTTCTCTATACGAGACGCAGGCACATTTCCAATAAATGGGTATTGGCTTTGTGATCCTGCCCCAGGTCAACAATGCAGTATCTGCTATATGTCAGACACTTTACAGATATCTTATTTCACCATTACAACACCCTTGGAAGGTAGGTACTATTATTATCCCCATTTTACAGTTGAGGAAACTAGGGTAGACCGGGTAAATGATTTGGCATGGGTCATATAGCTAGTCAGTGTCTGAGATAAGGTTTGAACTCCAGTCTTCCTGACTTCACATCCAGTGCTCTGTCCTCTGTGCCACCTAGCTGCTAATGCTTACTTTCTCATAACCATAGTGCCTTAGAACATAGTATCAGAGTATCAAAGCTCAATTACTTTTGTCTAAAAAAAACCTTTTTTTTTTTAACGTGTAGGGGGAGCTTTGATGCACCACTACTAGATACTAGGGATTCTTTCTATTTCCACTTTGCCCTCAGGTTCTAAGAGATCTAGGCAGCTTTCTTTTAAGACTTCTTGAAATAGGGTGTCTAGGCTCTTTTTTTTTATTATGATATTCAGAGAGTCCAATAATTTCCTCCTCGATCTTTTTTTCTAGGTCAGTTACTTTTGCTACTATACCTTATATTCTTCTATTTTTGTTTTTAGTCTTTTATCTTTGTTTCAATATTTCTTGTTGGCTCATGGAGTCACTGGCTTCTATTTGGTCTATTCCAATTTTTTTTTTGACTAGGCAGTGGGGTTAAGTGACTTGCCCAGGGTCACACAGCTAGTAAGTGTTATGTGTCTGAGGCCACATTTGAACTGAGGTCCTCCTGACTCCAGGGCCGGTGCTCTATCCACTGCGCCACCTAGCTGCCTTGAAAAATATTTTTTTAAAAGCAGCTGTCACCACTATGGGCTGTGTGATAAGATATGAATTTGCTAAATTTAGCATTTGAAAATTCTGCCCTCTGATTGGCTTCTTCTGCATTTCTTTGTATACCCAATACTTAGCACATTGCCTTGTATAATAAATGCTTGTTGACTGGCCAGAAGTGAAAATTTCATGCCCCAGGTAGGACCATAGAATACATAGCTAGAAAGAATCTTAGAAATCATCTAATCCAATCTTCTCATTCTCCAGATGAGAAAACTGAAGCTCACCAAACTGGAACTTTTGGGTGAACCAATTATTGTGTGCCCTGGTGGTGTGGTATAATGGAAAGAACCACGGACTTAGAGTGACGAGAAACCTGGGCTGAAATCCAGCCTCCAACACGTTAGCTATTGACCTTGAGCAAATCATTTAATATCTCAGCCTCCATTTCCTTACCTAGGCAAAGGGGAATGTCAGCATTTTGTAGTGGGATTCAGAACTAGGTTCAAATCTGAACTCTACACCTTACTAGGTGTGACCTTTGAGAAGTCATTGAATCCCTCTGAGCCTTATCTGTAAAATGAAGGTAATAGTGTTTGCACTGCCTCTCTCAAAGTACAATGAAGTGGTCCTGCAGAATGTTCTTTGTGAACTCTACAGCACTATACAAATAAGATGATTTTCTCCCACCACCAAAATACGACAAACGAATGGTGTTTTGGTTCCAGGTTTTATATGTATATGTGTGTATGTATGTGTGTGTGTGTGTATATACATATATATGTACACGTATATATGTATGTATCTGTGTATCTGTGTGTGTACATATATATATATATATATATATATATATATATATATATCTCACAACTATGAGCGTTTTGCTAATATTTTTGTAAGATCAGAGAATTTTGCTTTAGTTAGGTAAGAACTGAATATCAGACAGTGTTGCCTTCCCTGATCTTTAATCACAGTTAGCTCTTTGGACCAATCTGGAGGCTCGATTATCTCATTGTACCTCTCCAGGCTTCCTCATCTGCAAAGAGAGGTGTGGATGAATTGATCTCTAAGGCCCCCTCCAGCTCTAACCTCCCATGTATCTACAAGCCTTTTTAAACTACTTCTGTTACCCCTCCTGCTGCCTCACCTTTTGGTCATTTCCCTGTTCATTTGCAAGTCCACATAAAGCAAAGGCAAGAAGATAAAACTCAAATAAGTTAATTTAGGCTTTGCAGGGAGCTGATCCAGAGTTATGTTGGAGAGGAAGAAGCTAAAGTGAAATTATTGATTATCTATGAATGTAAGTTGACATTGCTATGTGTTATCTATCCCTTCTACCCTTGGTCACTGAAGATGTGCTGACTGACACCAGTGCTTCCACCAAAGCACTGGGAGGTAGAGGTATTAAGACAGTGTGGAAGTAAGGATTTCTATCACCCAGGTGTCAAAAGAGCAGCTTCCCTTATGCAGCAGGCATCAAAGTGGGAATGTTAAAGCACCTGAAGGCGGAGAAGGCACTTTAAAGTGACTGAACTATTTATATTTGACTCTAATTTTAAAAGACATACGGACATGTGCCACTTGAAATTGCTCCAATTGCAGTCAGTTTTCTATGTTGGAAATGCTGATTGGCTATCCTGTGCCTTTTCCAGACCTCTCAACTAGAAAACTCTTGGCTATTTTCTTTAGGTCTAAATAAATCTTTTCTTGAGCTAAAAGGGAATATACATTTGGAGCGCTAGTAATAATATTTATAGAATTGCCTGGCCCTCATATCCTCAAATGTTTACATATCAATGCGTATAGTATGCATAATAAAACTGGTGATGTTAACTCAAATAAATAAAATTACATCTTTTAGACGGTGAAATATAATGAGCAAATCACTTACCCTCTCTGGTTTTCAGTTTCCTCATCTATAACATGGACTGGATAGCCTCTAAGCTCTCTTCCAGCTCCAGAGCTATGATCCTATAATTTCAAAGCACTTTCACATCCATTTTTCCATTCAAGACTCCCAACACCCCTATAAGGGCAGGTGTATATCAGTTTGGTGCAGTGGAAAATTCACTGGATTTGGAGTCAAAATCTAAATAACCACTTGTAGAACATTTTGTAAAGGGGATCATTATTGT